GTCTTCTGCCCATTTTTGGATTGGGTTGTTTGTTTTTTTAATATTGAGCTGCATGAGCTGTTTATATATTTTGGAGATTAATCCTTTGTCCGTTGATTCATTTGCAAATATTTTCTCCCATTCTGAGCGTTGTCTTTTCATCTTGTTTGTAGTTTACTTTCCTTTGCAAAAGCTTTTAAGTTTCATTAGGTCCCATTTGTTTATTTTTGTTTTTATTTCCATTATTCTAGGTGATGGATCAAAAAAGATCTTGCTGTGATTTATGTCAGAGTGTTCTTCCTATGTTTTCCCCTAAGAGTTTATAGTGTCCAGTCTTACATTTAGGTCTCTAATCCATTTTGAGTTTATTTTTGTGTATGATGTTAGGGAGTGTTCTAATTTCATTCTTTTATATGTAGCTGTCAAGTTTTCCCAGCACCACTTATTGAAGAGACTGTCTTTTCTCCATTGTATATCCTTGCCTCCTTTGTCATAGATTAGTTGACCATAGGCGTGTGGGTTTATCTCTGGGTTTTCTATGCTGTTCCATTGATCTATATTTATGTTTTTGTGCCAGTACCATATTGTCTTGATTACTGTAGCTTTGTAGTATAGTCTGAAGTCAGGGAGTCTGATTCCTCCAGCTCTGTTTTTTTCCCTCAAGACTGCTTTGGCTATTCAGGGTCTTTCGTGTCTGCATACAAATTTTAAGATTTCTTGTTCTAGTTCTGTAAAAAAATGCCACTGGTAATTTGATAGGGATTGCATTGAATATGTAGATTGCTTTGGGTAGTATAGTCATTTTCACAATATTGATTCTTCCAATCCAAGAACATGGTATATCTTTCCATCTGTTTGTGTCATCTTTGATTTCTTTCATCAGTGTCTTATAGTTTTCTGAGTACAGGTCTTTTACCTCCTTAGGTAGGTTTATTCCTAGGTATTTTATTCTTTTTCTTGCAATGGTGAATGGAATTGTTTCCTTAATTTCTCTTTATGACCTTTAGTTGTTAGTGTATAGGAATACAAGAGATTTCTGTGCATTAATTTTGTATCCTGCCACTTTACTAAATTCATTGATTAGCTCTAGTAGTTTTCTGGTGGCATTTTTAGGATTCCCTATGTATAGTATCATATCATCTGCAAACAGTGACAATTTTACTTCTTCTTTTCCAATTTGTATTCCTTTTACTTCTTTTTCTTCTCTGATTGCTGTGGCTAGGACTTCCAAAACTATGTTGAATAACAGTGGCGAGAGTGGACATCCTTGTCTTTTTCCTGATCTTAGAGGAAATGTTTTCAGTTTTTCACCATTGAGAATGATGTTTGCTGTGGGTTTGTCGTATACGGCTTTTATTATGTTGAGGTAGATTCCCTCTGTGCCCACTTTCTGGAGAGTTTTTATCATAAGTGGGTGTTGAATTTTGTCAAAAGCTTTTTCTGCATCTATTGAGATGATCATATGGTTTTTATTCTTCAATTTTTTAATATGGTATATCACATTGATTGCTTTGCATATATTGAAGAATCCTTGCATCCCTGGGATAAATCCCACTTGATCATTGTTGTACGATCCTTTTAATGTGTTGTTGGATTTTGTTTTTGCTAGTGTTTTGTCGAGGATTTTTGCATCTATATTCATCAGTGATATTGGTCTGTGATTTCCTTTTTTTGTGGTATCTTTGTCTGGTTTTGGTATCAGGGTGATGGTGGCCTCATAGAATGAGTATGGGAGTGTTCCTTCCTCTGCAATTTTTTGGAAGAGTTTGAGAAGGATGGGTATTAGCTCTTCTCTAAATGTTTGATAGAATTCACCTGTGAAGCCATCTGTTCCTGGACTTTTGTTTGTTGGAAGATTTTTAATCCCAGTTTCAACTTCATTATTTGTGATTGGTCTGTTCATATTTTTCTGTTTCTTCCTGGTTCAGTCTTGGAAGGTTATACCTTTCTAAGAATTTGTCCATTTCTTCCACGTTGTCCATTTTATTGGCATGTAGTTGCTTGTAGTAGTCTCTTAGGATGCTTTGTGTTTCTGCAGTGTCCGTTGTAACTTCTCCTTTTTCAATTCTAATTTTATTGATTTGAGTCCTCTCCCTCTTTTTCTTTATGAGTCTGGCTAATGGTTTATCAATTTTGTTTATCTTCTCAAAGAACCAGCTTTTAGTTTTATTGATCTTTGCTATTGTTTTCTTTGTTTCTATTTCATTTATTTCTGCTCTGATCTTTATGGTTTCTTTCCTTCTACTAACTTTGGGTTTTGTTTGTTCTTCTTTCTCTAGTTCCTTTAGGTGTAAGGTTAGATTGTTTATTTGAGATTTTTCTTGTTTCTTGAGGTAGGCTTGTATTGCTATAAACTTCCCTCTTAGAACTGCTTTTGCTGCATCCCATAGGTTTTGGATAGTCGTGTTTTCATTGTAATGTGTCTCTAGGTATTTTTTAATTTCCTCTTTGATTTCTTCAGTGATCTCTTGGTTATTTAGTAGTGTATTGTTTAGCCTCCATGTTTTTGTGTTTTTTAAGTTTTTTTCCCTTTAATTGATTTCTAATCTCATAGTGTTGTGGTCAGAAAAGATGCTTGATATGATTTCGATTTTCTTAAATTTACTGAGGCTTGATTTGTGACCCAAGATGTGATCTATCCTGGAGAATGTTCCATAGGCACTTGAGAAGAAAGTGTAATCTGCTCTTTTTGGATGGAATGTCCTATAAATATCAATTAAATCTATCTGGTCTATTGTGTCATTTAAAGCTTGTGTTTCCTTATTAATTTTCTGTCTGGATGATCTGTCCATTGGTGTAAGTGAGGTGTTAAAGTCCCCCACTATTATTGTGTCACTGTTGATTTCCTCTTTTATAGCTGTTAGCAGTTGCCTTATGTATTGAGGTGCTCCTATGTTGGGTGCATATATATTTATAATTGTTATATCTTCTTCTTGGATTGATCCCTTGATCATTATGTAGTGTCCTTCCTTGTCTCTTGTAACATTCTTTATTTTAAAGTCTATTTTATCTGATATGAGTATTGCTACTCCAGCTTTCTTTTGATTTCCATTTGCATGGAATATCTTTTTCCATCCCCTCACTTTCAGTCTGTATGTGTCCCTAGGTCTGAGGTGGGTCTCTTGTAGACAGCATATATATGGGTCTTGTTTTTGTATCCATTCAGCAAGCCTGTGTCTTTTGGTTGGAGCATTTAATCCATTCACGTTTAAGGTAATTATCAATATGTGTGTTCCTATGACCATTTTCTTAATCGTTTTGTGTTTGTTTTTGTAGGTCCTTTTCTTCTCTTGTGTTTCCCACTTAGAGAAGTTCCTTTAGCATTTGTTGTAGAGCTGTTTTGGTGGTGCTGAATTCTCTTAGCTTTTGCTTGTCTGTAAAGCTTTTGATTTCTCCGTCGAAGCTGAATGAGATCCTTGCTGGGTAGAGTAATCTTGGTTGCAGGTTCTTCCCTTTCATCACTTTAAATATATCATGCCACTCTCTTCTGGCTTGTAGAGTTTCTGCTGAGAAATCAGCTCTTAACCTTATGGGAGTTCCCTTGTATGTTATTTGTCATTTTTCCCTTGTTGCTTTCAATAATTTTTCTTTGTCTTTCATTTTTTGTCAGTTTGATTACTTTGTGTCTTGGTGTGTTTCTCCTTGGGTTTATCCTGCCTGGGACTCTCTGCACTTCCTGGACTTGGATGGTTATTTCCTTTCCCATGTTAGGGAAGTTTTCTACTATAATCTCTTCAAATATTTTCTTGGGTCCTTTCTCTCTCTCTTCTCCTTCTGGGACCCCTATAATGTGAATGTTATTGCATTTAATGTAGTCCCAGACATCTCTTAGGCTGTCTTCATTTCTTTTCATTCTTTTTTCTTTATTCTGTTCTGTGGCAGTGAATTCCACCATCTGTCTTCCAGGTCACTTATCCATTCTTCTGCCTCAGTTATTCTGCTATTGATTCCTTCTAGTGTAGTTTTCATTTCAGTTATTATATTGTTCATCTGTGTTTTTTTGTTCTTTAATTCTTCTAGGTGTTTGTTCTTTAACTCTTCTAGGTCTTTGTTAAACATTTCTTGCATCTTCTCGACCTTTGCCTCCATTCTTTTTCCGAGGTCCTGGATCATCTTCACTATCATTACTCTGAATTCTTTTTCTGGAAGGTTGCCTATCTCCACTTCATTTCATTGTTTTTCTGGGGTTTTATCTTGTTCCTTCATCTGGTGCAAAGTCCTCTGCCTTTTCATTTTGTCTGTCTTTCTGTGAATGTGGTTTTCCTTCCACAGGCTGCAGAATTGTAGTTCTTCTTGCTTCTGCTGTCTGCTCTCTGGTGGATGAGGCTGTCTAAGAGGCTTGTGCAAGCTTCCTGATGGGAGGGACTGGTGGTGGGTAGAGCTGACTGTTGCTCTGGTGGGCAGAGCTCAGTAAAACTTTGATCTGCTTGACTGCTGATGGGTGGGGCTGGGTTCTCTCCCTGTTGGTTGTTTGGCCTGACGCAACCCAACACTGGAGCCTACCTGGGCTCTTTGATGGGGCTAATGGCAGACTCTGGGAGGGCTCACACCAAGGAGCACTTCCCAGAACTTCTGCTGCCAGTGTCCTTGTCCCCACGGTGAGCCACAGCCAACCCCCGCCTCTGCAGGAGACCCTCCAACACAAGCAGGTAGGTCTGGTTCAGTCTCCCCCGGGGTCACTGCTCCTTCCCCTGGGTCCCGATGCACACACTACTTTGTGTGTGCCCTCCAAGAGTGGAGTCTCTGTTTCCCCCAGTCTTGTCAAAGTCCTGCAATCAAATCCCGTTAGCCTTCGAAGTCTGATTCTCTAGGAATTCCTCCTCCATTGCCGGACCCCCAGGTTGGGAAGCCTGACGTAGGGCTCATAACCTTCACTCCAGTGGGTGGACTTCCGTGGTATAAGTGTTCTCCAGTTTGTGAGTAACCGACCCAGCAGTTATGGGATTTGATTTTATTGTGATTTTGCCCTTCCTACTGTCTCACTGCAGCTTCTCCTTTGTCTTTGGATGTGGGGTATCTTTTTTGGTGAGTTCCCGTGTCCTTCTGTCGATGATTGTTCAGCAATTAGTTGTGATTCCGGTGCTGTCGCAAGAGGGAGTGAGCACATGTCCTTCTACTCCCCAGTCTCTCTACACTGTGATTCTAATATGAGGAAGAAGGGCAGGAAGGAAGCTGGGAGGCAATTAGCAGTGGCTGCCATTTGCCCTGCAGCCAACGTTGGAGCCTCACCCTCATCATCTCAGCTCTACACACTGAGGGGTTCTTATTGCAAATACTTGCAACTAGTAGCCCGAAGCCTTATTGTTGACTGCAGGTACACACAGGAGGGCAGCTGAACTGCCCCTGGAAGCAGCCCTCTACTAATGGCAGGTGGGGTCCTAGTGAAGAAATACCCCGGCTTCCCTGCTCCTCGTCTGGGACAAGTTGGAGAAGTTAACTGGATTAAGTTCCAGTTGCCACAGCACTAACCCGCTCTTAGAGCTCCCTGTTGGCTTCCTGCCCGGCCGTGCCTCACTTGCTGACTGGCCTGCAGATGTTTTCTGGGATCACCTCTCAAATCCATCACGTGCACTTGAATCCTTGTCTTATAAATTGCTTCTGGCTCCGCAACAAGAGAAGCCACCACAACGAGAAGCCTGCGCACCACAACGAAGAGTAGCCCCCGCTCGCCGTATCTAGAGAAAGCCTGCGGGCAGCAACGAAGACCCAATGCAGCCAAAAATTAATTAATTAATTAATTAAAAAGAAATTGCTTCTGGGGGAACCCAACCAAGACATCCTTCCTGCCTCAAACAGCAATAATGTGATCCATGGCTGGGCAATCTGATCAGCCCACCAGGGAGACTAATTTGAGGAAGAGATTTAGAAAATTCTAAGACGTTATCATCATCTGCTTGAATGAGAGTCCTGTTTGGTCCACAGCCTCAAACACACCAAGGTGAGTCTTGAAAGCAGGATAATCATTTCCCTTCTGTGTTACTCGTAACTGGGGGCACCGTTTATTAGTTTTACCTTTATGTTCAGCCACTGCTCTTGAAATAAATCCACTGTAACAGCGTAACAGAATGAAAAGATGGTTCCAAGTCTCAGCCACATGTGTGTACAGCCCAGCCCTCCTGCCACCACCCTCTAGACGTTACCTTCTGCTATGGTGAGTTCTCAGTGTAACACCTCCTGCCCTTCCTTGGCTAGAGTCCTCAGCAGACCATTTGGTCCATCAAAGGAGACCTACAATGTTGGGCCTCAAAAGGAAATGGATGCGGAAGGAGGTGCCTGAGAGAGATTTTAAAAGATGTAAATAAATGGAGAGCTAGTTCATGGGCATGGATTGGAAGATACAATATTTTTAAGATGGCACATGTCCCCCAATTGATCTATAGATTCGACACAATCCTTGTCAAAATCCCAGCAGATATTTTTGCAGAAATTAACAAGCTAATCCTAAAATTTATACAGAAATCCAAAGGAACCAGAATAGGCAAAACAATTCTGAAAAAGCAAAGTAAAGTTGCATGACTTTCACTTCCCAATTTCAAAACTTGCTACAAAGCTACTGTAATCCAAGACCTACTAGAGAATGGACTTGAGGATATAGGGAGGGGGAAGGGTAAGCTGGGACAAAGTGAGAGAGTGGCGTGGACATATATACACTCCCAAACGTAAGGTAGATAGCTAGTGGGAAGCAGCCGCCTAGCACAGGGAGATCAGCTCGGTGCTTTGTGACCACCTAGAGGGGTGGGATAGAGAGGGTGGGAGGGAGGGAGATGCAAGAGGGAAGAGATATGGGAACATATGTGTATGTATAACTGATTCACTTTGTTATGAAGCAGAAACTAACACACCATTGTAAAGCAATTATACTCCAATAAAGATGTTTATAAAAAAAATTTTTTTAAAAACTACTGTAATCCAGACAGTGTGGTACTGACACACAGATAGACTTAAAGCAATGGAACAGAATAGAGAGTACAGAAATAAACCCATACATTTATAGTTAATAGGTGCCAAGGTAATTCCATGGGGAAAAGACAATCCTTGTAACGTATTATGCTGGGACAACTGGATATTCACACGCAAAAAGATAAGTTTAGATTATCTCAGACTACACACAAACATTAACTCAAAATGAACAATGGTGCTAATCATAAGAACTAAAACAATGAAACCTTTAGAAGAAAACATAAGGAGAATTTTTGTTACCTTGGGCTAGGCACATTGCTCTTAGACATGCACCAAAAGTGCAATCCACAGAAGGGACAAATAATTGGGAAATTGCACTTTAATAAACTTTAAAACGTAGAGAATTTCAAGGCTCAGTCTTTCCACTGACACAAGCATTAAGCTGGCAAAACCTGTCAGAATCAACTTTTTTTCTGGAATCTAATCAAAACTGTAAAGCAACCAGGGGGCCTCCTTGATGAAGAAAGAGACTCAGTATTTGCTAAGAATGTATTGTGGCATTTTTGCTTATCTGCTTACTATTTCCTATTCCCCAGCTCAGTGAGTGGGGGGGGGGGGGGTGGGAACAGTGGTCTACATTTTGGGTGTGATTTGCTAGAACAGGAAAGGGCAATACAGACTTTGTTCTCAAAGAATTGTGGTTGTACCTTTTGATCTGTCTGGTAGCTTCCTGAGGGACTGCCTTGGGCATTTGCCTTCGTCATGCCCCCCCTTTGAAACTCTTTCAAGACTGGAGCTGCTTCCTAGGTAGTGTCTGTTGAAATAATTTAAAGACATATACTGCCCAACTGGGGCAAGGGGTGATGGACAGAGCAAGCACAGACAGACCAAAAAGCCTGGGAAGGAGGAGGCTGGAGAGGAAAATACAAAGGCATTGAAAGGCTTCCACATATACCAGGGAATCTGGAATGCAATGCATGTGCCCAGGGCTGAATGCAGCACAGAAAAGATCTGAGAAGACCCTAGGTTTGCACCTCTGGCTAATCTTTGGATTCTTCACAAGCAGGTGAAACGCTAAGGTGAAAGCTAAAGTGCAGTTATAGTCAGCCTGGCTAAGCATTGAAGAAGTGTCCCAGCCAATCTCTAAAGATTGAGAAAGTAGTTTTTGTTCTGTGTGCCTTATTCATTTTGGCTCCAGGTGTTTAAGGAAATCTCTATCAGATCGCTGGCTGACTGCCAAGATAATGGAATGGAGTGGAGACTTCAGTGAATATACAACAACAAGGAATAATACAGTATTTGCAAAAATAGATTGGAAAAGTCACTCAACAAATGGATGGCTGCAGCCAAAGCAAACAACAAAAGCAAACCCTGTTGGGGCAGAAGGGCAGGGGAGAATCTAATTTCCAGAGTTATCACATTACAATGTTCAAGATGTCCAGTTTTCAACAATAACAATAACAATAGGGCATAAAAGACATAGGAAAGCATGGCCCATTCAGATAGGAAAACACAAACCAAAAAGGAAAACGACAGAAACTGTCCCCGAGGAAATCCAGACATTGGGCTTACTAGATAAAGATTTTAAATCTGGTGTCTTAAATATGCACAAAATGCTAAAGGAAACCATGGATGAAGAACTAAGGGAAACCAGAATGATGTATGAACAGATAGAAAATATTAATAAAAAGAAATTATACAAAGGAACCAAATAAAAATTCTGGAGCTGAAAAGTAAACACTGAAATGAGAAATTTACCAGAGGGGTTCAACATCAGATTTGCAGCAGGTAGAACAAAGAATCAGTGGCTTGAAGATAGGCAAATTGAAATTATCCAGTTTGAGGTGCATAAAGGAAAAAAAGAGTGAAGAAAAGTGAACAGAGCCTAACGGACTTGTAGGGCCCCATTAAGTATAACAACCTATGATTTATAAGAGTCCCAGAAGGAGAGGAGGGAAAGGGCCAGAGAGAATATCTGAATGGCCTCCACCATTTGTTACTACAAATCAGTAACCTAACTGTACACCTTAAGGAACTAGAAAAAGAAGAGCAAATTAAACCCAAAACTGGCAGAGGAAGGAAATAAAAACGATTAAAGTGGGGACAAATGAAACAAAGTATAGAAAAACAGTGAAGAGGATCAACAAAACCAAGAGTTGTTTCTTTGAAAAGATCAACAAAATTGACACACCTTTAGCTGAACTAAGCAAAAAAGAGAAGATGCAACAGACTAAAATTAGAAGTGGAAATGAGGCCATTATTACCAACCTTACAGAAAAAAGATTATAAGAGAATAAAAATTGTATGTCAAAAATTAGATAACCTAACTATCCATTTAGAAATGGAAAGACTCCTAAAAAGACATAAATTACCAAAACTGACTCAAAAAAAAGGAAAGAAAATCTAAACAGATACATAAGAAAAAAATAGTTGAATCACTAATCAAAAACCTCTTAACGAAGAAAAGTCCAGAGTCAGAAATGCTTCACTGATAACTTTTACCAAACATTTAAGGAAGAATTAACATCAATCCTCCTCAAACTCTTCGACAAAATAGAAGAGGAGGGAATACTTCCTAAGTCATTCTATAATACCAAAGCCAGATAAAAGCAGCAGAAGAAAAGAAAACTACATTATGTGCCAATATCCTTTATGAATACAGATGTAAAATCTTCAACAAAATACCAGCAAACTGAATCCTATCGCATGTTAAGAGGATTATACACCATGACCAAGTAGGGTTTTCCCAGGAATCCAAGGGTTGTTCAACAAAAAATTAATCAATGTAGTACACCACATTAATAAAATGAAGGAAAACCCACATGCTGATCTCAACTGATGCAAAAAAAGAGAAGCATTTGATTAAATTCAATACTCTTTCATGATAAAAAAAACACTTAGCAAACTAGGAATAGAATGGAAGTCCCTCAATGTCATAAAGGCCATATGTGAAAAACCCACAGTTAACATCACACATGATGAATGATACACCAAAAGCTTTTCCCCTAAGATCAGAAAGAAGGGTGCCTGCTGTCACCACTGCTATTCAACATCGCACTGAAGGATTTTGCCAGAGCAATTCAGCAAGAAAAAGAAATAAAAGAAACTGGAAAGGAAGAGGTAAAATACCACTATTTGCAGATGACATAATACTATAGCTAGAAAATCCTTAAGAATTCACCAAAAAATTATTAGAGCGAATAAACAAATTAAGCAAAATGGCAGGGTACAAGATTAACACAAAAGTTAGCTGTGTTTATATACACTAACAATGAGCAATCCAAAAAGGAAATCAAGAAAACAATTCCATATATAATAGTATCAAAAATAATAATACACTTAGGAATAGATTTAACCAAGGAGGTGAAAGACTTATACACTGGAAACTACAGAACATTGCTGAAAGAAATTAAAGATCTAAGTAAATGAAAAAGCATCCCATGTTCATGTAATGGAAGAATTAGCATTGTTAAGATGGCACTTTTCCTCAAAACAACATCTAGATTCAGTGCAATCCCTGTCAAAATCCCAATAACCTTTTGCTCTTTCAGAAATGGAAAAGTTGATCCTAAAATTCATATGAAATTGCATAGGGCGCAGAATAGCCAAAACAATCTTTAAAAAGAACAACAAAGTTGGAGGGCTCAAGCTCCCAATTTCAGAACTTACTACAAATCTACAGTAATCAAAACAGTGTAATACTGGCATAAGGACAGAAATAGAGATCAATGGAATTTAATCAAGAGTCTAGAAATAAATCCATGCATGTATGGACAGTGACTTTTGACAAGGATGCCAAGACAATTCAATGGGGAAAGAATAGTCTCTTCAACAAGCAGGTGCTGGGACAACTGGTTATCTACATACATGGACCCTTACATCATATACAAAAATCAATATAAAGTGGATTAGAGACTTAAATATAAGAGCTAACAAAATAAAACTCTTAGAGGAAGGTATAAGGGTATATCTTCATGTCCTTAGATTTGGTGATAGACTCATAGACATGACACCAAGAGGATGGGCACCAAAAGAACAAAAGAGATAAATTGTACTTCATAAACATTAAAAACTATAAGAAAGTGAAAAGATGACCACAGAATGGGAGAAAGTATTTGCAAATCATATATCTGATAAGGGTCTAGTATCCAGAATATATAAAGAACTCTTACAACTCAACAACAAAATGACAAACAATCTGTCTTAGTCTGTTCGGGCTGCTATAACAAAATCCAGTAGACTAGGTGGCTTATTAACAACAGAATTTACTTCTCACAATTCTGGAGACTGGGAAGTCCAACATCAAGGTGCCAGCAGATTCGATAGAGCCCGCTTCCTTGTTTATAGACTGTTGTGTCCTCACACGGCAGAAGGAGTAACTTATCTTTCTAGTGTCTTGTTCATAAGGGCACTATTCTCATTCATGAAGGCTCTGCCCTCATGACCTAATCATCTCTCAGAGGCCCCACCTTCTAATACCATTACATTTGAGGGGTAGGATTTCCACATGTGATTATGGGGGAGAACAGACAGTCTATAGCACAGCCCAAGTTAAAAACAGGCAAAGGACTTGAATAGATATTTCTCCAAAGAAGGTGTATAAATGACTACCAAGCACATGAAAATATGTTCAACACCATTAACCATTAGGGAAATGCAAAGCAAAACCACAATGAGATACCACTTTATACACACCAAGATGGCTCTAGTAAAAAAAAAAAAAGGAAAATAGTAAGTGTTGGCAATGACGTGGAGAAATTGGAGTTCTCATACATTGCTGGTGGCAGTGTAAAATGGCGTGGCTGCTGTGGAAATCTGTTTGTCAGCTCTTCGGTAAGTTAAACATAGAATGACCCAGCAATCCACTCCTGGGTGTATATCCGCAAGATTTGAAATGCAGGTCTGCACATAGATTTGCACGGATATGTTCATAGCCGTATTATTCGTAATAAAGATAAAGTGAACACAATCCAACTTCCACCAGCTGATGAATGGAATAACCAAATGTAGCATATCTGTGCAATGGAGTATTACTCGGGCATAAAAATGAATGAAGTCCATGCTACCACACAGAAGAAACTCACACACGTTACGCAAAAGAAAAGAAAGCAGACACAATAGACCACATGCGTGATTCAATTTATACAGAATACCCAAAAAGGAAAAAGGAAAATCAGTAGAGACAGAAAGGAGATTACTGGGGCTGGGAGTGGGAACAGGATTGACTGCAAACAGGAACAAGGGACCTTTTTGGAAATGTTCAAAAAATTAGATAGCAGTGACGACGGTTGCAAAGCTCAGTAAACTTACTAAAAATCATTGAATTGTACACTTTCAATGGGTGAATTTTATGCTGTGTAAATTATACCTCAATAAAACTGCTAAAATAAAAAAGAGGAAATGGGTTGAAGGAGGGGCTGTGTCAATTATTTTTTTCCCAGTAGTCCCCTTGGCTGAAATGCAAATTTAACCACTTCCTCCCCACTGACCAGCTTTAAATACTCAGGGGTGTTGAGAGGGTGTTGAGAGATCTTATTTCACCCTCTTCTGAGACCTCCTGAGCCACATTCGCGAGACAGGAACTGACCTAGAGGGGTCCCTTAAGGGACCCTTCCCTCAACACAGATCTATTTCTAAGGGGACTCAGGTTCACCCCAAAGGACATGGCAGCTGTTAACTTTCCATCTCCAAAAGCATCTACTTTTTAAACACAAAGGGTTAAGTTGCCACTGCTGCATCTTACCCACTCCCTAAATCATGGCCGGAGCACTCTTTTGAAAATGTAGATTGGATTAAGCCACTCCTCTGATGAAACCTCGGATGACATCCATTTTCCCTTGGAGCCAAATCTACCTCCTTCACCCCATCCTGCAAGGTCCTAGGTGGTGTGCAGGATGTGGGACTTCCACGACTCCGTCTCCTAGCATTCCTTTGCTTGTTCACTCTATTCCCCACACTGTTCCCAAGTTCCTGGAGCGAGCCACACTCCCTCCCACCTCAGTGCCTTTGCACTTGCAGGACCTTCTGCCTAAAATGCTTCCCCTGTGGCTGGGGTATTTCTTACCATCCAGGGTGCCCCCTCTGTGTCACTACCTAGACCTATCATCTGTTTTCTATGACAGTATAGTTTGCATTTAGTTTGTCCATTACTTCTTTTTGTCTGTCTCTCCCCACCAGAATACAGGCTCCATGAGGGCCACCACTCTTGTGTATTTCTGGAGAATGTCCCCAGTACCTAGCCAAGGGCATGTTCAATGTCGGCGGGTAGAAGGCCGGAAGGAGAGAATGGGTGGGTTGGGCTGCGTGGGTGCATGGGTAGAAGAATGCAAGAGGGGGTGGGTGGGTGAATGGGTGGGTGGAAGGCAGGCAGCTGGGAGGGAGGGTGGGAAGAGGGACTGAATATCCCTGGGTTAACATACATCCAGAAGCAGTGTAGTGCAGTGATCAAGAATGTAAACTCAGGAGCCCAAATGACTGAGTTCAAATCTCATCTCCACCAGCACCAGCTGTGTGACCTTGAACAAGTCACTTAACCTCTCTGAGCCTTGGTTTCCTTATCTGTAAAATAGGGATGATGTTGATGATGGTAATAATAACTACCTTCTCATGTTATTCTGAGGTTTAAGTGAGGTGATACACCTTTAAAGTCCTTAAAACCCTGGCACAGAATCAGCTTTCAGCAAATATTAGCTCTTTTTTTTTTTTTTTAACTACTCCTTCTCTTGATCTTTCATCCATGGTATCAGAAAACTCACCCTGAAGATCAAGAGACAAAGAAAAGCTGGCTTCCTCTCCAGAAACGTGCTCCAGAGAATACAAGTTATTTTGGTTGTGAGGAAGAGAATGTCTTTAGGGCAAACATCTTTTGAACCGGCCACAGGGGAATTTGTACCAAGTTCCTCAGAAACAACTAGAAAAAGAAAAAAAAAAAGAATAAATAACAAGATGCTTTCTCTTTTTCTCTGGAGCGGTCATGTGGCTTAGCTGCAAATTATTTCCCAAAAATGAGTCAGCTGGGGAGAGATGGCATGTGTGTTTGAGCCAACCTGTGTCATTAAAACAGCACAAAACAGCCCCCATCCACCCTGGTAACATTTCAAGGATGAAGTGTTTGGGCCCATTTCCACAGCCTTAGGAATCTGATCGACCCAGGTTCAAATCCCAGCTCTGACACTTCTTGGCTAGTGTGACATGTCACCCCTCTAAGCCTTGGTTTCTCCCACTGTAACATAAATAGTCATAATCTTATTTGCCTCACAGGGTTTGTAGAATAAATGAGATCACCTAGTGCCTAAAAAATGCAAGATACTAATAGTAGTAGTTGTGGTAGCACCAGCTCTTTGAGGCTGCTGGGTGTGAACTTGCTGAATTTTGTCCCCAGGTTTCATAAATGTTTGCAAGAGACATCTGACCCTCTCACGGGCCCTTGGCTTGTCAGCAAGACAAGAATTCTCTTGAGAATTTCTTTTCTCTATTTTCTTCCTGAGTTCCCATGTGTAAAACGGCTAGGTCTCCCCATTTGACAGACGGGCAAAGCGAGGCATTCAGAGGGGTGATGTGACATGCCCAAGGGATTGTCTTCTCAAAGGCACGGAGACAGCATCCTGCTCCCTGCAGCATTGCAGCAGGAAGCCGGATTCAAAGGAAAAAGGCTCAGGGAGTCTGGGAGGGGGTCCGGAACTCAGACCTCTGCTGGGCCAGGCAGGCAGCGAGAGGAGTGAAGCCGGCCAGCGTGCAAACTCCAGAAGAGGGGCCATTGCCTCTCCATGGGACCTTGGGCAGGTCTCTGCGTTCTCATGCTTCTCTCTGAGCTGAGACCCCTGGGGACCTCGCGGGTCTCGCTGTGCCACCTCCTCTCCCCTCGGAGCTTCAGTTTCCACAGCTGGGAGAAGCGGCGGCTCACCGCCCCCCTGCCCGCCTTAAAGGTCAAGACTGTGAGGCCTGTGGGGGTCTTGTCACCCGTCCGCAGGAGGCAAACGTCACGCCGGTGGCCCCAAATGTCTTCCTAGCGGGCGACCTTTGGTGAGCAGTGGGCCTTGCCCTGGGGCCGGGCCCCCTCCCACCTCTTTCTCGCTCCCTGGGGGAGGAGCCGGCTGCTCTGTGGGCGGGGCCTGGGGAGCGGCTCACCACATCCTCCCCTTCCTCCCCACCCTGAGCACGCGGTGGGGCTGGGTTGGCAGGCACCGCCTCTGGCGGACCCACTGGCGTCTCTCTGCTGAGCGACCGAAGGGCTCGGGGTCCGACTGTCTGCCTGCTTCTCCCTGCGCGTGACTGACAGCCACACGGCTGTCTGTCTGTCTGCCTGGGTGGCCAGCTACCTCTTTGCTTGGCTTCTCCTGTCTGACTGGCGGGCCAGCCCTTGGCTGCTGTCAGTCCATCCCCCATGCAGCTGACCGGTCCCTGCCCAGCAACCTCTGTCTTCTGTCCGTGTGTGACCTCCTTGGGACGTGACTGATGGTTGCCTTTGCCTCTGCGTGGCCCGCCTGCCCGGAGCCCAGCTGCCGTCCGTCTGGGTGACAGGTCTTGTGCTGTCTGGTCGGTGACTTGGGGCAGGTTTCAGCTTCCCACCCCAGTCCCCTGCCTGTTCTCCCAGACCCCCATCCCTCACGCCAAGCCCAGCTGCCGTCCCCTGGGAGCCCACCGGATTGCCCGAAGCACAGAGAGAATGGATTTCTGAGAAAGAAGTAGGACAGCAGGTAACTCACCTCTAGCTACCGCTCTGGAGGGGGCGTTGGGGGGGAGGTACCTTCTCTGCCCAGGAAGACGTGCAGGGGTCCTGTGGCCTCATCACACCTGGGGACAGTTCACCTGCCTGGCGTGCCTCTCTATGGGTCTTCAAGAGGCCCCAGGGACCTAGAGGCAGAGGCATAGGCATGGCTGAGATGACCCCCTGAGGTTGTGGAAACCAGCCTCCAAAAGGCAGGGGCTGGGGAGGGAAAGCTGGTTCCAGACTGAACATGATGTGACAGTCACCATGGTTCTGGGCAGCTGAGCCGGGCAGGGGTGGGCATGAGTGTGACGGGGTCTGTTTGGGGAAGTGGGGAGGCATCGACTTTGTACCAGGTTCTGTGTTTTATCTCCTTTATTTTATCTAAATCCTTTAAGATGCGTTGGTGTGCCCATTTCACAGATAAATACAGGTTCTGAGAGGTAGAGTGATTTTCCCAAGGTGACTCAACCAGTACGTAGCAGGGTCGGCAGGTGACTTGGAGGCTGGTCCTGCCCTCCACATGCTATCTCCTCATCTTTCCCCTGAAAACACAGCGGATGTGCTGATTCTGAGAGGCAAATCCGTTCTGTGTGTGCGGAGGAGAGGGGAATGAGGAGACTCAGGGAGGCTGAGCCTTGAAGGATGGGTTGAATTTTGACTTGGGGAAAAAAGGGGGAAGGAAGAAACAGGCAGACACACTCCTGGCAGAGGAGCAGGTGAGTAAATGCCTGGAGGGGAACTTAGGATGCAGAGGACCCAGGGCAGGTGGGGCATTAAAAAGTCAGGGGCTGCTCCTGGGAGGACATCTGCTTTCCCCTGGGGGAAAGTGCGGGGGTTTTAGAAGCACATGGTAGAGTGGGGAAAACCTGGCGGGTTCAAAATCCAGCCATGCGGCTTCCTGGCTGGGTGAACTTGGGCAAGTTTCTCTGCTTCTTCTAGCCTCGTGGAGCCTCGGTTCTCTCATCTGTGAAATGGGGAGAATGGCAGCTCCGTCCTTGTAGGGCTGGTTGTGAGGATTCGAGGGAATGAAAATATCAAAGCTGCTGGCTGGGGTCCTGCCCAGGAAGGGAGTCTGCATCATGAGGAGGCTGGAGCCTGTGGAGGCTCCAGAGCCATGGAAGGTGCAGGGACACACTCGGGAACGTGCAGTCGGTCCCACCTCCCTGAGCCGCCTGGGTTCTGGTCCTCCCGGGGCCAGCGCTCAGCATGCAACAGGCGTGTGAAGCTCTCCCATCATCTTCACAACACCAGGTGAGGCTGGTGGCCTCATTCAGCCCATTTCACAGATGAGGAGACTGCCCCTCAGTGAGGAGAAGCTTGCCTCAGGTCAGCTGTGACCATAAGATGCAGAGCTGGGTTTGGAACCCCAGGGTGGCAACCTGCTGGACAGGATAACAAAAAAGCAAGAGTCATAGTCCTGGGGCACCTTCTGAGAGGGGCATTGGATCAAGGGGGCTGGGCAGACCCCAGAGCGGGAGCCCCGATGACCTGTTCCCCATGGTGGGTTCAGCAGAAGCCCTAGTCTTGTCTGCCCCACACCTGGCAGGGAGTCTGGATACTCACATCCCCGCGGTGGAGGAAACTAAGAGCCCTTATGTTAGGACGTGGCCAAGACCCCGGGCCAGGAGAGGCAGGTGAACAAGACAAAGGATGTGCCCCAGATGCTGCAGGCTCCCGCCTGCCCATCAAGGAAGGGAAAGGGGTTGGAGGTGGGGACTGGAGCCCAAAGGGGCTTATAGGCAGAGGAAGGGGGCTTGCTGGAGGAGGGGCCCAGTTTAAGAGAAGATAGAACAAGTAAAGCAGGCCACCAGAAACTTTGGGAGGGACCAGCTTCTCCACAGCATCAGGACCACCCTGGGGCCTGATAAATAAATGAATGAAAGGAAGGAAGGAAGAAAGGGCATCCTTCCTCCCAGCGAGGGGAGCCAGTGCCTTGAGAACCCTGGCAGGCCAGAATGATGGCTCAACTTCTCCACACAGCTGGGAGGTCTCCACAGTCAGCTGGGGAGCCCTGGATCTGGCTCATCACCACACTACCGATTGTGATTTGGGGCTTTGAAAACAGTCAGACCTAGGTTCGAGTACCATCTCCATCACGTAGTACCTGTGTGACCTGGAGTGAGTCACTTAACCTCTCTGAACCTTTGGTTTCCTTATCTGTTATATGGAAATAAGAATGCCTATCTCGGTTTGCTGTGAGGTTTTATTCAATGTGTATTTATTGAGCACTGTCCTAGGTCCTGGGGACTCAGTGGTACACAGACAGAGCCAGTGCCATTTTGAGGGGAAAGAGCTTAGCAGCGGCTCACGAGAAACAGCAGCTACTGTGTTTTATTTTAAATGTCATTGGTAATAGTCGTCTTGTTATTACCCAGGACACTTGGTGTAGCTTCTGGCATATACTCAGCCCTCAACAAGTGATCATTCTGTGATGATTCTACTCCCCCCTTTCTCAGATGGGGAAGCCGAGGCTCTGAGAGGGCTGGGGATTCCTAGGGTCACCCAGGGAGTCATGTACAAGCAGAGGAAAGAAAGCTGTGAAGACAAGGGAACAAACACTTTCTCGCGGGGGGGGTCTTCCCCCCCATCACAGCCCCTTCCTCCCCCGCTTCTCCCCTTCCGTGCCTTCTGCGGCACCCTAGCCCCCAGGGGCAGGGGGAGGGGGGCTGAGAGGAGCCCCCGCTTCATGGCTCACAGGTGGCACCGCCCCCACTTCTCGCCCTGGCGCCCGGCCATAGGGACTTTTTACGACAGCTCAAATGAGAGCTCTGAGTAAACTTGGAACTTCTGAAACAACCTGACAATATTCCCCGGGGTGTGAGCAGAGGTCCCTCTGAGGGCCCCCGATGGCCAGGCCACCTGCAAAAGGGCCCTGGCCTGCGGGTCCTCACAGCCCCCAGGAAGGATCTGGCCACTCATATCGTCCCGAGTGAGGTGGGGCAAGTGCACCAGCCTGGCTCCCTGCTCGGGCCCTGGCCGCTCCTCGCTCTGTGACCCTGGGCAAGGCTCTGGGCCTCTATTTCCTCATGTGCCAAGAGGGCTTGATGATGTAGCCTGGGACGGGGGCCTGCAGGCTTTCTCCAGTATGAACCAGTAACCCCCAGTCTACTTGGGCCAGGGCCAGGGCAGGCTGATGGGGGCATGCTGGGCCAGGATGGGATAAAGGGCAGGTTGCCAGCCCCGCCCCCCACCCCAGCCCCCATCCCCCCCTCATGACCTCAAGCGGCCCTGGTTGAAGCATCCTCTTTTCTCTGCCTTACGGCGAGCCCCTCCTGGTCAGGGGGGCGGGGAAATGGGGCTGGGGTGAGGTGTGGCTACCGGAGCCCAGGGAGGCTGCACAGTCTGGCTGGGGTTGCCCAGCACAGTGAAGGGCAAATAGAGATGGCACAGGAAGGAAGAGTTTGCTGGGAGCAGGGCATGCGCCTCAGCACAGGCTGGAGAAGTTCCTGCAGGGAAAGGCCAGTCAGGCTTGGAGAGGCTGCGTGGACAGGGATTCATGGCCCAGCTGGGAGAGAGAGACGGACTAAAAGTTTCCACAGGCTCAGAGGTGGGACAGGCTGGGCAGGCCTTTCCCCTCACGTTCAGCTCCTGCTGACTAAGCTGTCATCCCAGGGTCTTGGTACACCTGTCCTCAGACACCCCCAACCCGCCCTTTGTCACCGCCCCCCTCCCCAAACTATGTAAAAGGCAACTTGCAATACTCGCACACCTACAGTGTGCCCAGCACCCGCCTTACGCTCCCTCAGCCCAGCCAGGGCCACTGCCCCCATTCTACAAATGAGGAAACTGAGGCCCAGAGAAAAGAAGAGCCCAAGGTCCCATTAGGAGTTAGAGGCAGAGCCTCCTTCTGGATCCAGGGCCACAAGGCTGGTTCTTCCCCAGCCTGAGAGCTCCGCTTTAAGAACTCGCTGTGTGACCCTGGGCAACCCAACGTCCCTCTATGACAATTTCTTGCTGCTAATCTGATGACAACGGTCATGGTCACTCAGACCCTGGGAGCTGAGGGTGTTGCCCCGGGTGGGGGGAAGTTCCTGAGGACAGTGACAAAGTGGATGGAGAAACCAAGACCTCTTGGGGGCTGCCTTGGGGCTTGCTCCTTGTAGGACTGGACACAGCAATTTGTAGCCTCTGTCACTCATTCACCATTCGTCAGCTCCTTGTTAAGTATCTGTTATGTTCCATGCCCTGTTCTCCGCACTAGGGATGCCGCGTGAACAAAATAGGTAAATTTCCCAACCTCTGGGAGCCTATGCTTCAGGATAGAGACAGGTCATAAACACAAAACCAGGAACATTTGCTAAACGAATCCTAATGTTACAGTTGCCAAGAAGGAGACAAACAAAGAGGGGTGTGTGGCACCCAGAACTGCAGGGGAGACGCATTTTAGACAGAGAGGGTTGCCTCTTTAAGGAGGCAACACTGTAGCTGAAACCTGAGGATAAGAAAGTAAAGAAGCAGAGGGGGAAAGTGTTCTAGGTAGAAGGAGTGGCATGTGCACAGGCCCTGAGGTGGGGGGAGAATGTTGGAGCTCTGGAGCTTTTATGCTTATCAAGTGCATACAGATCCTCAGTGCACTGAATTCAAGAAAGAAGAGTCAAAAAGAATAAGATTTATCTTTGGAGTGTACAGTCTACATGGGTTTCAACATTGAGGGTAAGCTTCAAAGTCCATTATGATGGAAAGCATCTTCTTGTGTTTAGTCACTCATGTAACAAATGCTTTGAGCACCTACTGTCTTGTCAGGCTCTGGTTAGCCACTGCCATTCAGCAGTAACCAAGCAACACGTGGTTCCCGCCTAGAAATTGCTCAGAATGTTGCCAAAAACACCATGAGCAGTGTGCTCTGGTGGAAGGACGGACCCCAGAGGAAGGAGTGACTCATGCCTTGGAGAGGCCAAAGAGTTACAAAGGAGATGACATTTGAACTGGCTTTTGAAGCCTGAGTAGGAAGCTGGTAGACAGCCAGGGGAAGCAGACAGTTCCGGT